GCTCGCAGAACCGGGCGGCCCGAGTCCGCGTGAGCAAGGGGGACAAGCCGGTGAGCTACGAGGAGGCGCACGCGCCGCACCACATCGCGCACCGCAAGGGCTGGCTGTCGCTGCACACAGGTGAGCGCGACCTCGCGCGTGTCCGGGGTCCCCTGGGCGGGGAGCAGCTCGGGCAGCCACGGGCGTGGGGGCCCCGGGGCCCTGCCCACTCTGATTCCGCGTCCGAGCACCGCTCAAGGTCACGGGCGCCTGTTCCCAGCCCGGGGGGAACTGGGTTTTCCCGCTCGGTGTGACGTCACTGTTTCAAGTGGCCCCGTAGCGCCTGCTGTTCCAGAACGTTAAGGCCGGCCCGGGGCTTGGAGACAGCGCGCGTGAGGCCGGCTTTGCTGGGGCCGCGGACCGAGCTCCGTGAAGGGGTCAGCCGTGTCCGGTAGGGACCAGATGGCCGCTGGAAGCCGGCCCTGCCGGAGCTGCCCCCAGGAGCGGAGGGTCAGTGGGCAGTCAGGCCCTGTTCCTGACCCTCGCTCTCCGTGGTTCTGGGGCCTGGTGCAGTGTGGGACTCGGAACAGAGGCTGTGCGCGCCGTGCGGGGTCCAGGCCCTCCCTGAGCGCCCGCGGCTGTGGCTGACGGCAGCCAGCGGCGTGCAGCGACGGGCAGTAGCTGGTGTCGTCTCTTTGGCCGGCGGATGACCAGTGCCTCCGTGCGGCAGCCACGGACACGGAGGGGACCCGGATGTGGAGCCGGCACCTGCGCCTGGTGCCCTGGCCCAGGCTTCAGTCTTGCTTTGTACTACCGGAGTGCTTCCCAGGGCTGGCCAGGGGGTTCGTGGGGCCGTGGAGTAGAGCTTATTCCAGCAGGAGGAGGCAGGGGCGGGTGGGACTCGGGTTCCCGGGCCGGGCCGGGCCGGGCTGACTGCGCGGTGCCTTCTCAGGGAGCCTGCACGGGGAGGAGCACGCGGCCGAGCGCACCGTGGAGGACTTCTTCCTTCGCAAGTTCATGCAGGGCACCTTCCCCGGCTGCCTGGCCGACCAGCTAGTCCTGAAGCGCCGGGCCAACCAGGTGGAGATCTGCGCCCTGGTCCTGCGGCAGCTGCCCGCGCACAAGTTCTACTTCCTTGTGGGCTACAGCGAGACGCTGCTGTCCCACTTCTGCAAGTGTCCCGTGCGGCTGCACCTGCAGACTGTGCCCTCGAAGGTTGTGTATAAGTACATCTAGGCCACGGCCACACAGGCTGAACCTGACGCGGTCTAAGTGCATCTAGGCCATGGCCTGCACACGCTGAGCCTGCCACGGACAGGGACGGGGTGGGGGTGTGGCAGAATGGGGGGCACCGTGCCCCCACCCCCACCGGGCACCGAGCCGTCCTGACGGCTGTGGACGGAGGCCGGCGAGTGGGGTGCTGTGTGCACAGCGCTAAGCTGCTGTTTGTGACATCTCGCCCGTGCCGGAGCCTGGTCCGGTGCTGGCCCTGCCGCGCATCCTGGCGTCCTGCTCACGCACAGCCCGGGCCAGGTGACGGCTCAGGCACTTGAGTTCCTGCCGCTCGCGGGAGACCTGGATCGAGTTTCAGGCTGCTGGCCTCGGCTTGGGTCAGCCCTGGCTGTTGTGGCCATTTGGGGAGTGACCTCTTTGTCTGTCTGTGCCTTTTAAATAAATAAATAAATAAGTCAATATAAGATTGAAAAATAGACTAAAGTCAATTCTGTTTCTGCACGTACGCAATGAGGAATCCAAAAACGGAATTAAGGGAGCCCCTCTAAGTTACGATGGCATCGAGGGGAAATGCTGGAGTGACTAACACCAGCACAGGCCTCCTCACTGCCCTCTGGGAAGAGCTGGCGGGGGCCCTGGGTCTCCCCAGGCTCTGAGGGCTGCATTTCTGGGGCGGGACGGGGGTCCTGGTCTTGTCCTTTGTGCTGGTGGAGAGGAGCCCAGGGTGAGGTCTGCCAGCCCCCTGTTGCTGTCTCATTGTTCTGGATAAAAGGCTGGCCCCCAAGAGTCCCCTCCGAAGCCTGCACGTAAGGGACCCCCAGGACCGACCAGGAGCTGGAGGTGCACACCGGGGACCTGGGAGCCTGAGAAGATGGCAGACGGGCCCCTGGCAGGATCCGGCTGAGTGCGCTGATCTGAGGTCGCCGAGAGGCAGGCTCGGGGTCAGAGAGGGGTCTGCCAAGGCAGGGCCCCTGTGAGGACACGAGGAGACTCAGGCCGCCATAGCCCGGTCACCCACTCCACACACACACACACACCAGACACACAGACTCAGGCTGTCATAGCCTGGTCACCCACTCCACACACACACACACACACACACACACACACACACATGTACCCACACCACACACACTCATACAGCTGCACCCATTCTACACACACCCATAAACACACACAGACTCAGGCCTATCATCCCCCTGGTAACCCACTACAAACACACACCTCCACTCAACCCCCCTACACCCACTCCACACACACAGAGGCCTGTCATCCCCCTGGTCTTCCACTCCACACACACACACACCTCCATACATACACACCAACTCCACACACACCCATATACCTACACCCACTCCACACATACTATACACACACCTACCTAGTCCACACACACTCCACACACACACAGGCCTGCCATAGCCCCTGGTCACCTACTGCGTGGGTACACACACCCACACCCACACCCAGTCCACACACTCCACATACAACCAGCACTCCACATACACACACTCAGTGCACATACATGGTTACCCACTCACTCCACATACATGCACGCACCACACACTCACTCCACACACACGCACACAGGCTGTCACCCCCCTGGTCAGCCACTACACACATACACACACAGGCCTGTCATAGCCCCTGGTCACCTACTGCATGTGCACACACACACACCCAGTCCACACACACTCCACATACACACACTCAGTGCACATACATGGTTACCCACTCACTCCACACACATGCACACAGGCTGCCACCCCCCTGGTCAACCACTACACACACTGACACACACATACACAGGCCTGTCATCTCCCTGGCCACCCACTCCACACACACACACTCCACACACACACACCACACACACACCACACCCACTCCACACACACACACCACACCCACTCCACACAACCACACCCACTCCACACACACACACAAACACTCACACACATACACAGACTCAGGCCGTCACAGCCCCGGTCACCCATTCCACACACACACCTCCACTCAACCCCCCACTCCCACGCCACACACAGAGGCCTGTCATCCCCCCCCCCCCGCACCCTTCCAGCACGGTCAGGCCTCCCGTTTGGTTGCAGAGGCACAGTGGGAACGGTGTGGATCGCTCTGTGTCTCTCTTGCTCTGCTTTCAAATACAGAAATCTTCTCTACAACAGTGAGGCTGGGGCCGGTGCAGTGGCAGAGTGGGTTAAGCCACGGCCTGTGACAGCATCCTGCAGGAGCCGAGCTGCCCCCTGCCAGCCCAGCCCCCGCCAGCGCGCTGGGGGAGCAGTGGGGGAGGGGAGACCCAGGGCCCAGCCCCCACCAGTGCTCTGGGGAAGCAGTGTGTGGGGGGGAGACCCAGGGCCCAGCCCCCCCCCCCCCCCCCCCGTCGGAGCTCTGGGGGAGCAGTGGGGGAGGGGAGACCCAGGGCCCAGCCCCCACCAGTGCTCTGGGGGAGCAGTGGGGGAGGGGAGACCCAGAACAAGCTCCTGGCTCCTGCCTTTGGCCTGGCTCCGCCCTGGCCGTTGTGGCCATTTGAGGAGTGAACCAGCGGATGGACGATCTGTTACTCTTTCAAATAATACATTTTCTTTCAAAGGAGGAGAAAATAAGATGCTCAGGTCTGTGACAGCTGCGCCCGCCGTCCCCGCAGAGGGTTTTCCGGCCTCTGGGATCAGCGCCCAGCTGCTGGCGCACACCTGCCCGGGCCCGCCGCGCCCCGCTTCTGTGGCGTGCACTGGAGTGCAGCTTCCTCCCCGGGCACAGGAACTGAAGCCCCTGCACGCTGCCCGCCGTCTGCTGCGTGAGGACTTCTACAGGAAGCAGGGCAAGTCCGGCCCCGGCAAGTCTCCGGAACCCTGCAGACTTCGGCAAGACCGGCTGCTCGGCCTGCAGCCCACGTCCTGCTCTGGCGCTGGGGAGGCGGACAGTGGAAGGTGGCCGAGTACTGGGGCCCCCGCCACCCACGCGAGACAAGCGTGGACTTCCTGGCTCCTGCCTAGCCCAGCCTGGCCCAGCCCTGGCTGCTGTGGCCACCTGGGGAGCCCACTGGACCACGTCCATCTCTTCTCTGGATGATGGCGCTTTGATGTGCAGAGTGGCCTTGACCAGCCCGTTTCTGCAAGGTCATGGGCACAGAGCCGTGCCCGCTAGGGAGAGTTGGCATGACTGCAGGAAGGAAAACAGACACTCTTCCCACTCCCGTGTTCACATTCAGGTGTGACACGCGGCCAGTTCAGCGGCATAGACAGAGGACACTCCGTAGACAGCACTTAAGGGTTTGACACACATTTATTTCTTTTGCATCTAAGCTGAACCAAACAGAGATCGTACGAAACAGTACAGTGTGTGGCAGCCCCTGACCACCTGGCCGCTTTGCTGCCGGGGGTGCCGAGTCCCGTGAGTTGGGGTCACGTTGGCGAGAGCGGGCAGCTGAGGTGGTGGTGGACGGGCCAGGGGAAGTGGACAAGGCCCGTCACCCTCAGCCCAGCCGCATCAACAGCACATTCAGTTGATAATGACAGGCCAAGCAGAGCCCCCCACCCCCAAGAAAAGGTAACCAAGGCAACCAGCAGGTGTCCCGGAGGAGCTGCTGTTCTCACGGGTCCAAACGCGCAGGTGCCTAGCCTTGCTCCCGAGAGACTGGGACCCCAAGCCGGCCACTTCCATGTCCAGCAGCTGCTACATTTGTCAGGCTTAACCCCAACTCTGAAATGGTGCCCTCTTCTGGGTAAACAATGGAAGATTGTTCCACAGATTTACACACGCTCATAATCACAAGACTTACAAAACCCGACACTGCAGCAAGTGTGAGACTCGTGGGAGAGCCCTCCTCCGTGCAGCTCGCTGTGGAGAGGGAAGCTATGTACACGGAGCCGCCCTGCTCACAGGCACTGTCCGCTCCCTTCCCAGAACTTCCGCTCGCGTCCCTCTTTCTCCAAGCTGACAGCTTCGCCTGCCAACAGTCAGGAGGCACGAGGACCCGAGTCAGCAATGCAGGATGTGCGACAGGGATGAGGCCACCTGCGCAGTGCACCTGCCCGGGCGGAGGGCGGGGGGCCGGGGCGGAGGCGGAGGGGGCTTCCTGTTCCCTGCCCTCAGCCCCCAGATGCGGGAGGCTGGCCCGGTGTGCAGGGATTCTGTCAGCCGTGATCTGGGGAGTGTGTGCATGCGTGTGCGTGTGTGTGCGAGCATGTGTGCGTGCTTGTGTGTGCACGGATGTGTACATGTTTGTGCATGCGCAGGTGTACATGCATCCACATGTGTGCATACACGTATGTGCGCATGTGTGTGTGTCTCAGGGTGAACTCTCCCAGTCTGCGTGCGCCCAGCTCTGTGCCTCAGGCCGGGAAGGGGACCCCCCTCCAGCGCTTGCCTCTGCAGTCTCCCGGACCCCACCTCCCCCAGCAGATCCTCAGCTGGAATCCGAGACAGAAGCGCAGGCGGGTGGGCGTGTGCGGCCCCGCTGCAGGACTGCCGGCTTGTGCTTCCATGGGGACTGTGTGGGCTGCAGACTGGGAGGACCAGAGAGAAAACAAGAACCCGGGAAACCGCGCTCTCCGCTCCCCGCCCCTTCCCGGTTCAGCGCTGCCATCAGCCTTCTCCGGGCTGGGTTTATTTCCCCAGGATCCCCCTGAGCGTTCTATGGAAAACGTCTCTTCTTCTCGTTAATACTCATTTGATTTTAGGCGGCCAGCCTGCAGGTGCCCTGAAGTTTTAAGACGTCACAGAAAAGGTTCTTTCCAGCCCCCCGGTCTCTTTAGCAAATACTAAAGCCACAAGTGACGCCGTGGTCCTGGCTCAGTCACCGCGGTTAAAGTGACTTCTTCCAGATCTGCCTTAAAGGGAAACTGCATGCAGAAAGCCTGCTTTTCCGTTCACGTGCCGGAGGCGGCCCGTTTGTGATAAATTGTGCTTTATTGGTTTATCTGCTCGCTATGAGTATTTCACACATGAACTTGCTAAAGATGCTGTGATCTGGGCTTATGGTTCTGTTTCTCCAAATTGGACAGGTTTTTACGGAAATAGTTTTTTTCCAAATAACTCAAGACCCGTGTTTTTTAGTTGCTATTGGTGGGCAGCACTGCCCTCTGCTGGCCTCTTAGGCAAATAGCAAGTGGGTTTTTCACAGGAAGTCTGTTTTCAGTGTATTCATATTTATTGGCTTTTGATCTGAATTTTTAAAACTTTCTTAAAAATTTATGTACTTAATCCTTTTAGAATGAACTTGAAAGCCATTCTAAATTATCAACACTTTAACTTCTTAATTATATAGCTTTACAGAGAAAACTTTGAAAATTGATATATTATTTAAATTAAAAGCTAAATAAATATTTCTAATTGTTTTCATGTGCAATCAAATTGCTTCCACTTTTTATTTACATGAAAACATATCATAAAAATTTCATATTTGAGAAAGGTAGCTTGTAACTGTTTAAATAGGAGATGGAGAGACTTTAATAGACATTTTCAAAAATGCAAAATTTTGGTGACATTCATGAGAAAGGCAGAGTGCTGTGGGCGCACTAAACACCGTTCCTGTTCTCTACTAGAAGATGGAGAGGAGGAGTTGATACGAGAGCAAAATGCTTTTCTCTCCACAAATAAAAACTACTTTTCTGGATATCTTTTGCGTTTCGGGGCGATTCTAAGGAAGCTTGAAAACCTCAGTTTTCATGCACTTCAGGGCTGCCATGGCTTCATTTTTGACGTGCAAGGTAATAAGTTATTTGTAACGTGCTGCCTCCACGCTGAAACATGGACTAACCACTGCTATCTCCCATCCGTTACTGGCTCCTGAAAGTCGGCTAACTGTATCCACCCCATCTCCTCGGCAGGTGGATATCTGCAGAGGAAAACGAATGAGATTTTTTTCTACCACAAGAGGGCAGCAACAAGCTCAGAACTCTAACCGATTCTCTGAGCTTGGTGCTTTGCCCCGGGGAGGGAGGTGGGACAGGACGAGAATTCTGCAAACGTGGGTCACTGGATGTCTCACGAGGGGCACAGGCCTCTGACTGTGTCTGTTTCATGGTTTACAGCGGTCACAGTGCACCTGCCACTTAAACCTCACGGCCCGGGCGACTGACGGCCGTTCCTGAAAGGCACAGCGAGTCCACACGGGCATGTCGGCTAATCTGAGAGTCCGTCATCTTCCATCAGAGCGGAAAGGAGACATTCAGAAAGATTAAAATATATTTATTTTTATATTTTCTATGATTACGAAATTCTCTAGTCTCTCTTCAATATTCTAATAATCTTAAATCTTCCAAGGATAAAATAATCATCGCCACGGAAAAGCAGCCAAGTACTTAAAACTACAGCTATGGTCACTTTGTGATAAATATAATATAGAAACCATGAAGCAATGCACACGTTCAAGAGAGCTGGTTAATCTTATGTGGGATTTGTCCCTTCGCGCGAGTGTGTTGAATAATTTATCTTCATACCTTCACAGTCATTCCTGTACTACGAAATCCCTTTGGAGAAATGCAAAGAAGTGGGCTGGTTTCTCTCTTTCCTCGCAGAGTGTGCCCAGGCCAGGGCCGGGCCGGTGGGCTTAGGAGCCGGGCGTGTGCCGGGGCAGGCGGTAGTGCTCGGACTTGGAGTGTGGCCTCTTCTCCTGGGGGCTGGCGAACTTCCACTTGGAGGGGGCCAGCTTCAGCCGCTTCCTCCTCTTGTCCGCGCACCACACCTTTTCACAGTACTCCTCCACTCGCTGGAAGTTGCTGTAGCCGATCAGCTGCAGGAACTCCTTGTACCAGGGCCTGGCTCCCGGCGGGCCGCCGGCGTGCGCGGGGCAGGGCGCCCTGGCAGGCCCGCGCTCCCCGGGGTCCTTGCCGACCATGCCCTGCACCCGCTCCGCGGCCACCACCTCCAGGCTGATGCTCCGGATCGCGTGCACGAAGCCGTGCTCCACCGTCTGGCAGAAGTAGGTGCCCACGTCGGATCTGTGCAGCCGCAGGAAGAGCAAGCCCAGGTCCACCTTGAGCACGCGGTCGTCCGCCTGCACCTGCGGGGACAGAGGAGTGAGGGGTGCTGGGGGCAGCCCGCCACCCCGCCCCCTGCCTGCTCAGAGTCCTCGCCTTCCCTACCCTCACTCACACACAGGCGCTGAGAGACCCCGCCAGTTGTGTGTGTGCATTGTGTGGTATGTCTTCTGTATGTGTGAGTGTGTTGTATCATGTTTGTGTGTTGTCTCTGTGTTGTGCGTGTTGTGTCTATGTGTGGTGTGTCTGTGTGCCGTGTGAGTTGTATGTGTCGTGTCATGTGTGTTGTGTTTTGTGTGCTGTGTGTCTCTGTTGTGTGTTGTGTATGTGTGTGGTGTGTCTGTGTGTTGTGTAATGTCATGTTTGTGTGTCTGTGGTGTGTGCTGTGAGTGTATGTGAGTGTGAGAGGGTGTGTTGTGTGTGTCGTGTCATGGTTGTACGTTGTCTGTGTGTGGTGTATGTGAGTGACTGTTGTGTGTGTTTTGTG